GATGTAGCCCTGGGTATGATGTGATGCTGGGTACGGTGGCATGTGCTTGTAATCCCGGTACTGGGGTGGCAGAGACAGAAGGCCCACTAGTTAGCCAGCCTAGCCTAGGTCCCAGGAAGAGAGAAGGTCTCAAAAACCAAAATGGAGCTCAGTGTGATGGTACACACCTTTAATCCCAGCAGTTGTGGGGCAGAAGCAGGTGGATCTCTGTGATACTGAAGCCAGTCTTGTCTACCTAGTGAGTACCAGGCCAGCTGGGGCTTCAGGGAGACCCTGTCTAAAAAAACAAAGCAAACCAAAAACCAAAACACCCAAAAAGCAAAAACAAAAAGAAACCCCAAAACTCCCCCAAACAAAAATCAAATCAACCAACCAGAACCAAACCAAATAAAACAGAGCAAACAAGACAAAACAAAATAAAGCAACAACAACTCCCTCCCCCCCTCAAAAAACCCAAGTTCAGGCTGAAGAGATGACTGGGTGGTTAAGAGTGTGCACTACTCTTCAGAGGAGTAAAGGTCACATGGGGTGTACACAGGTGCCTGTAAGTCTAGCTCCAGGGGATCTAAGACCTCTGGCCTCTGAAGGCACTTGGCCTCACGTGCGCACACACACACACACATCACTAAAAATAGAATCTTAAAAACAAGGTGGATGGCTCTTGATACCTGATATTGACCTATGGCCTCCATAAATGACCTGTGGTCTGAATCCACACCTTATAAGGTTCCAAATCCTTATATCCTTTTGGAACTGATACCCTCCAATCTTAAATCTTGAGGTTTTTGAAGCAATGTCTCATGTATTTGATGTGGCCTCGAACTCACTATGTAGCCAAGGTGACCTTGAATTTCTTGCTTCCACTTCCTGAGTGCTGGGTTATAGGCATGTACCACAGTGCCCTATTTTTTTTATTTTTTTATTTTATTTTTAATTTTTCTTTAACTTTAAAAAAATTATTGAGAATTTCATACATGCATATAAGGTGTTTTGATCAAATCCATGCCCACTCCCTCCCCTCCAACACCTCCCATATCTCCCCATCACTTTTTCCTGAACAATTTTGTGTACTCTTTCTTTTTTGTTTTTTATGGGTTTTTTTGCTACTCTAACATTCCCCCCTTGCCCTATTTTTAAAAAAGATTATTATTATTATTATTATTATTATTATTATA